TCAGAATCTCACAAAAATCTTGGGAATTTATGTGTATAGCTACAACCTGTAGGACACTCTTTGTTTGGTTGTCTCTTTGAAGGTTGCTTACGTGCTATGTGTCTTATTTGTTAAGATGTATGCGTACCCTTTTGACTTGGGTGTATTTAACAGTAATGCTGATTTTTTTATCTGGTAATAAAAGATGAAAGAGATTTTAGTACGACAAAAAGTTTCAAAAGTCATTGATAATTCTTTTGCTGTAACTATGACTAGGATTAGAAAAATGAGTTTGACAAACTAGTTTATACCTCTATCATCTTGCAATAATCTGATACTGTTTTACGAAAAGTTAGCAAACATGACACTGTCGAAAAACTTTGAAAAAACCTTGATGAGCTTTATTTGACTCAAACCATGCCCAATAAACTTTTCTTGCCTGAAAGATTTTTCGGTTTCAAAATTCATATCTCAAAAGATTTAGAGGACAGTCTGGACATTTTCAATAAATTGGTTCAAGATATTATAAATTATGGTGAAAAGGTTTCTAATGAATATAATGCTATTTTTTAATACTATTCCTAATAATTATAAGGATGTCAAGTGATAAGTGTGTTTTTGCACACTTATTGGGCACTCAATTTGATACAATTATTTATTAAAAGAATGGAATTCTACTCACAAGTAAGTATTATTTGCTTTTGTAGGCTAAAAATTACTCAAGTAAAGAAAACAAGGCAAAACGAGGAAAAATAAGGAAAAAAAGACTCAAATTGTACAAAGTTGTGAAGTTGGAGGCCAATGCAAACAAGTCAAAAAGTGGAGGAATTGTGATGAAATTTATGGAGGGAAAAAGTGAAATGAAAGTTAAAATCCGAGGACCAAATTGTACAACATCAAAAGTTGGGGGACTTGGCTGCAATTATTGAGGGACTTGGCTGCAGATTACACAAAATCAACTTTTGTAGCTGCTGAAATAGAGACCCAGGCACCGCAGCGCCACTGTTCCGGTGCTGCAGTGCCGTTTTGTAATTTAAAAGAAAACTGGGGACCTTTTTGCTAACTTTCCAAAAGCCCAGGTACCAAAGCTGCAATTTTCCTTAGGTTTTAATATAAAAACCAGCAGCTGGGCAGTTTTTGGGACAGCTTCATTTTTCTGGGTTCTGTCTTCTGCTGGTTCTTTCCTTTTATTTTGTTTTCATTTTCTTTTCCTTTTCTTTTTCTTAGTTATTTTGAAGATACAACATAGAGCTCAAGGAGTTAGCAAAGGATTTGGCAAAGCATTGGGGAAAATCACAGCCAATCTACAAAAAAAGGTTTTATCTATATCTTTGTATTTTCTCCATTATTTAGCCATATTTGTAATACGTTGGATGAATATTCTCCTTGATTATCATTTATTTAACATGAGCTAAGTATTGAGTTGGGATTTATGATGTTAGTTTAACCTAGGTTTTTAATTGATTTTCAATATTTGCTCTTTAATGTTAAGTTGCTTATTTCACGTGTTTCTATTATTGTATTTATTGCATTTTCATTTATGTGGCCAATGAATGAATGTGTTTCGTGAAGTGTACATCGTTCGAGAGAAGATTGTGCATTTTAGACCAAATGGTAGGAATCTTAGGTTTGCATAGTGGATAGAGATATACCTCTAGCCCTAGGTGATCTAATGAGCTATTTTTACAACAATTTAATGCGGTTGTTTGGTTGTAATCGACATAGAGACATAGTAGGTTAAACCAATCAATTAGGGTTAATTTCACTTGAGAGAGGTAATTAGCTAAAATTGGAAGATCGGGTCTAACATCATAAATGAGTAGCGTGTTAATTGGCATGTGGAGAAATTGAGTAGGCGACAGTTAAATGAAACCATGAATCTCAACCACTTTTCCTCCGAAATTTCCAGGACTTTATTATTTTCTTAGTTAATATATTTTTCCTTATTTTCTAAAATCAACTCTTTATTGTGTGTTTGTTTATTTTCATCGTTAGAATTAAATTGATTAAAGTTGTATAATTTAAAGTAAACATTCCTCGAGGGATCGACAATCCGGACTTAAAAGGTCCACTTTATTACTTGAACGCGACCCGTGCACTTGCGGTAGTATTTTAGCGAACAAGTTTTTGGCGCCATTGCCGGAGAGTGTTTTATTTCAATTATTATCTGTTGTTGATTCTAATTTTGTTCTTTTTTCTTTTGCATAACTTTTATTTATTTATTGTGTAATTAACTTTTAATTTTGATTTCCTTAGCTCTTTAGTGGTGCATGCTTCGGTTGAGAAGTTTTGTTCTTTTCAAGCTTGATCTGGATATTGAAAAAACTTTTCAAAGAAGGCGACGGGAACAAAGAGAATTGAGAAGGCAACAGTTGATTGAGATGGCACACCAAGGGGGTAGTTTGAAACATAATGCTCAACCGAAAAATGTTCCTCGAGGTGACATTCCACCGGGTTTTGGTAACCAAGCGGGTAGAGCTCAAGAGCCTATTGTAAATGAGGAAGCTATGCTATTTGGGGACTTCATGAACCCACCCGTAGTAGAGAATGAATCAAGTATTGTCTACCCTCTATATGGACATCCAAACTTTCAACTTCGTCAGGATGTTATTAGTTTGTTCTCCAATACCATTCCAGTCTATGGAAGGATTGATGACAGTCCTCACTCACATGTTGCACGATTCATAGAGAATGTTGGGAATTTTAAATATGAAGGCATAAACGTGGAAGCGATCCGGATGAGGTTATTTGTTCACACATTGAAGGATAAGGCAAGGGAATGGCTTGAGACTCTACCGCCCAAAAGTATAAATAGTTGGTTGGAATTTATTCAATCTTTCCACTCGGCCGAGTAGCCAAACTCAAGCATGACATAACCACTTTCCAACAATCCGAATTTGAGAGCTTTCACGAGGCTTGGGAGAGGTTCAAGGGTATGCTTCGAAAATGTTCAATATTGGAATTACAATGGAGCAACAAGTGAATTATTTTTATGACGGGTTGACTCCTTCTTGCCATTCAAATGTAGATTCATCATCTAATGGCTCAATCAAGAAGAAGAGTATTTGGGAAGCATATGATCTATTTGAGGTCAAGAGTGAACAAAGAGCTATGTGGCCGGATAGAGGTTCACAAAGAGGGGTTGGTGGAGTTCGAGATGGTGAAGCTTTCTCAATGGTTCTAGCAAAGTTCGACTCACTAGCAAAGAAGGTAGAAGGACTTTCTACATCTACCTCGAGCTCTCATTCCGCTCAAATGGTACAATCTCTGCCTATTTGTGATATTTGTGGAGCAAATCACCCAAGCCCGAGTTGTCCATTAATAGGTAGTGGTTCAGCATCTACCGAGCAAGTGACATATACTCAAAACTTTCAACGCCAAAGGTACAATCCTTATTCGCAAACTTATAACCCCAGTTGGTGAAATCATCCGAACTTTTCTTATGGCAATGATCAAAATGTGCTCAACCTGAGGCCACAAGAGAGAAAAAAAAAGTTTGGGAAGAGGCCATTGCTAAGTTGGCAAACCATCAATTGCAATATCAAGAACACAATGACGCCTCCTTGAAAAACTTGGAACGTCAAGTGGGCCAAATTGCCAAGTTTATCTCCGAAAGGCAACAGAGGGCATTGCCTAGCAACACCGAAACAAACCCAAAGAAGAATGTACAAACTATTACCACTAGAAGTGGGGTGCAATTGCACGAAATCACGATGACATGCCCTAAGGGTTAAACCGACAAGGCACCTATTGAAGAAGAAAGGATTATGCAAGAACCTGATCCAAAGGATGAGACACTAATTGAAGAAGAACCAGAGCCATCAACATCAAAGGCTCCAATACTGGACAAAGCCTATGTGCCTCCTATTCCCTTCCCACAAAGGCTTTACAAGAAGAAATTGGACGCTTAATTTGGAAAAATTTTGGAGGTATTCAAGAAGCTACACATAAACATTCTATTTGTCGATGTATTAACTCAAATACCGAGTTATGGAAAATTTATGAAGGACATTCTTTCAGACAAAAGGAAACTCGAAGAACATGAGACAGTAATACTAACAGAAGAGTGTAGTGCTATCCTTCAAAAGAAGCTACCACTGAAAATCAAAGATCTAGGGAGTTTTACTATTCCATGCACTATTGGAGATTTAAATTTTAGTAAAACTTTATGTGATCTTGGTGCCAGTATTAATTTGATGCCTTTGTCTATTTTCAGGAAGCTGGGATTGGGAGAAGCCAAGGCCACCACTGTATCATTACAATTGGCTGATCGATCAATTAAATATCCTCGGAGTGTCATTGAGGATGTATTGGTCAAGGTGGACAAACTCATATTTCCAGCCGATTTCATAATTCTTGACATGGAAGAGGATCATGACATTCCTATCATTTTAGGACGATCGTTTTTTGCCACTGGTCGAACTTTGATTGATGTGCAAGAAAGGCAGCTCATTCTAAGAGTCCAAGATGAAGTTACATTCAATATCTTGAAGGCCATCAAGTAGCCATCGGAATTTGATTCATGCCTTCGAGTGGATGTTGTTGATCATGTGGTTACCGAGTCTTTTTACAGGCTTTCTAATGATCCTCTAGAAACATGTCTTGTTTGTCCTTCGGCTATCAAAGAGGAAGATCCAGAAGTTGAGCATATGGTACACTATTTGGAGGCTACACCTTCTCGATCTTATAAAAGAGCACCAAATTATGAGGACTTGGAAAAGAGCTCTTCACCACCACTGCCATCTCTTCAGTAGGCACCTTTACTTGATTTGAAGCCTCTTCCATCTCATTTGAGGTATGCTTATTTGGGAGAATCATCTATGCTTCCGGTTATCATTGCTAATTCCTTAAATGAATTGGAGGAAGAGAAGTTACTTCGGGTGTTGAGGGAGCACAAGGGAGTCATTGGTTGGACTATTGTAGACATTAAAGGAATTAGTCCTTCACTATGCATGCACAAAATCCTTATGGAGGATGATTTCAAACCATCAGTGGAGTATTAAAGGTGGTTGAACCCCAACATGAAAGAAGTGGTAAGAGCCGAGGTGATAAAGTGGCTTGATGCGGGCATTATTTATCCAATTTCAGATAGTGCATGGGTGAGCCCCGTTCAAGTGGTGCCAAAGAAAGGAGGTGTCACGGTTGCGGAAAATGAGGATAATGAGCTTATACCTACTAGACCCGTGACCGGTTGGAGGGTATGCATAGATTACCGCAAGCTTAACAAGGCTACAAGGAAGGGTCACTTTCCTCTTCCTTTTATTGATCAAATGCTTGAGCGGTTAACGGGATACTCTCATTATTGGGCACTTAATTTGATGCAATTATTGATTAAAAGAATGGAATTCTACTCACAATTAAGTATTATTTGCTTTTGTAAGCTAAAAATTACTCAAGTAAAGAGAACAAGGCAAAAGGAGGAAAAATGAGGAAAAAAGACTCAAATTGTACAAAATTGTGAAGTTGGAGGCCAAGGCAAACAAGTCAAAAAGTGGAGGAATTGTGATGAAATATATGGAGGGCAAAAGTGAAATGAAAGTCAAAATACGAGGACCAAATTGTACAACATTAAAAGTTGAGGGACTTGGCTGCAGATTACACAAAATCAACTTTTGTAGCTGCTGAAACAGAGACCCAGGCGCTGTAGCGCCATTTTGTAATTTAAAAGAAAACTGGGGACCTTTTTGATAACTTTCCAAAAGCCCAGGTACCAAAGCTGCAATTTTCCTTAGGTTTTAAAATAAAAACCAATAGCTGGGCAGTTTTTGGGATAGCTTCATTTTTCTGGGTTCTGTCTTCTGCTAGTTCTTTCCTTTTATTTTGTTTTCATTTTGTTTTCCTTTTCTTTTTCTTAGTTATTTTGGAGATACAACATAGAGCTCAAGGAGTTAGCAAAGGATTTGGCAAAGCATTGGGGAAAATCATAGCCAATCTACAAAAAAAGGTTTTATCTATATCTTTGTATTTTCTCCATTATTTAGCCATATTTGTAATATGTTGGATGAATATTCTCCTTGATTATCATTTATTTAACATGGGCTAAGTATTGAGTTGGGATTTATGGTGTTAGTTTAACCTAGTTTTAATTGATTTTCAATATTTGCTCTTTAATGTTAAGTTGCTTATTTCATGTGTTTCTATTATTGTATTTATTGCATTTTCATTTATGTGGCCAATGAATGAATGTGTTTCGTGAAGTGTACATCGTTCGAGAGAAGATTGTGCATTTTAGACCAAATGGTAGGAACTTTAGATTTGTGTAGTGGATAGAGATATGTCTATATCCCTAGGTGATCTAATGAGCTATTTTCACAACAATTTAATGCAGTTGTTTGGTTGTAATCGACATAGAGATATAGTAGGTTAAACCAATTAATTAGGGTTAATTTCACTCGAGAGAGGTAATTAGCTAAAATTGGAAGATCGGGTCTAACATCGTAAATGAGTAGCATGTTAATTGGCATGTGGAGAAATTGATTAGCCGACAGTTAAATGAAACCATGAATCCCAACCACTTTTCCTCTGAAATTTCCAAGACTTTATTATTTTCTTATTTAGTATGTTTTTCCTTATTTTCTAAAATCAACTCTTTATTGTGTGTTTGTTTATTTTCATTGTTAAAATTAAATTGATTAAAGTTTTGTAATTTAAAGTAAAGATTTCTTGAGGGATCGACAATCCGAACTTAAATGGTCCACTTTATTACTTGAGTGACCTGTGCACTTGCGGTAGTATTTTAGCGAGCATCAAGACTACAATCAAATATGAGAGGGAGACCATTAAATCCAATATAGTCATCAATTTTTAAAGGTTAAGAAGAGTGAAATGAAATTTAAAAGAAACAAGAGAAAAGTAGGAGAGATTCATCAAATGAGGGGTAGAATTCAATTTAGGGGTGGAGAAGGGCAAAATAATAGTGGCAATAAAAATGGCAGAGGTAGATCTAAGTTATAGGGAAAGGCTAAAGGAAGGAAATATTATGATTGTGTAAATCTAAGACATTTCATTGGTGAGTTGTGTAAATCTAAGACATTTCATTGGTGAGTGCCATAAAGAGAAAAAAAAAAGTTGAGAGATCATAGGGAGTGGTGAACCTAATCGGTTAAATGTTGTTGTCTAGAAGGATGAACCTAGTGAGAGTTACATGATCATAGATATTTAACTAGCTAAATAATATGTCTATAAACTTCCATATGCATGAGTGGATACTTGACTCCGATGCCTCTTTTTGTGCTACATCAAATAAACTATGGTTTGATCATTTGCATGAGTCTGATCATGGAAATGTTGTATGGGATGGAGTTGCATTTAAGATCAATAGCAAGGGTAGTGTGACTGGCAGATTTGATAGTGATTTGGTACACACACTTAAAGAAGTTAGATATATTCCACATATGGATAGGAATCTTATTCTTGTGAAAGGGTTGGAGCGTACAAGTTTCATTGGTACTATTGATGATGGAGCGTTAAAAATATTTAAGGGAGCACTTAGGCCTCTAAGGCTACTAGGAACAATGGCAGTTACATCATGCGTGCTGAAGTAATAGATGGTTTAAATTCCAGTGTCACTAACACGATCACACACATAAGTTGCACAATAGGACACTCTTTGTTCGGTTGTCTCTTTGAAGTTGCTCACGTGCTGTGTCCTATTTGTTAAGATCTATGCATACCATTTTGACTTGGGTGTATTTAACGATAATGCTGATTTTTCTATTTAGTAACAAAAGATGAAAGAGATTTTAGTATGACAAAAAGTTTCAAAGGTCATTGATAATTCTTTTGCCATAACTATGACTAGGATAAGAAAAATGAGTTTGACGTACTTATTTATACCTCTATTATCTTGCAATTATCTGATACTATTTTACGAAAAGTTAGCAAAAGCTAGCTTATGCACGAGGTTGTGATGGCTTGTGCAGAAGTTTTCAGTAGTACAATATAGAGAAATAGAGAATTACATGCATTCCACTTTGTAGACTTCTAATACTGTGACGTTCATTCTCTTGTTCCTTGAATTTCAGTCAAACTGTATGGTTTCATTTTATTCCCTGATCTACTGATATAAAAAAATAATATAAAAAAGCTCATTAGCAACTTCTATGTGCCATACACAAATAAAATTGAACAATGACTATTTTACCATCTCACAATCAAAATTTTTTTCCATCTAACATTGAACAGAGCTATAAACAGAATAATTGTTACTTGGCTTTGCAAACCAGTCCTTGAGTATTATATATAAGTATCTGTCAGTCCAATCATTATATTCACCTTATTAGTGTGTATAGCTGAATCATTTGATAGCTGCTCCTGGACTCTCACAAGCTTCAAAGATACCATACCACTGTCTATGTCTTGAGCTTTAAAATTTAGTACATGCCAAACCTAAGATGATCCCTAGACCAGTTTTCCCATACACTGTCTCCACTTGAACATCTGCAGCATTTTCCACATTCTTCCCTGCTAATAAATTTTCCAGTTACAGTAACTTGAATAATAAAAATAAAACAAATTAAGAAAACAAGAATTCGAAAAAAAATCTCTTCTACAACAAGTTCTGGGATTTCAACCTATGTGTGTTGATAAGTGTGTTTTTACACACTTATTTAGCTCACAAACATGACTTAAACATGGATAAAGTAGTTGAATTGTGATTTAATCTTGTTAAATTCTTGCAATGTAGGTGTTCCCATGGAAAAGATGGAATTCAGAAGAAAAGAGCCAAAAAGGGACCAAAACGGAACAAAGCGATAGTTCGGGGACCAAAGGTGCAAATATTGGAAAGTTGAGCTAAAGTGCAGAATTAGAATGAATTAGAATGAAAATATACCAAGTATGAGATTGAGGAC